TTCTACGTAAACAGAAGTTTTCAGTTGTCACTTGTAGTATGTTCCCCCAGTTCTTTGACTGTGAATCTGACAGTTTGCGTTCAATTCCCAGCATTTGGCTTCTGATTTTTCTTCTTTCAGTTCTGAATTTTTCTCTAAGTTGAGGAAAAAGTCTTCGGGCTAAGTGGTCAATGTAAGTGGTCAATATAAGCGGTCAATATGTATCCAATATTGACTGAGTACGAGGTCAATATAGGAAATAAAAGCCGAGTAAAAGACCGAGGCGAAGCCGAGGTCTTTTAGGTTTTTATTTATTTTTTTATTTTATTTCCTATACTGACCAAGTACGAAGTCAATATTAGATTTATCACGACAAACAGTCCGTATTTCAATCTCCAGAACGATAACCTCATGAATCCCGGTTTTATGATTGTACAACCGTTGCACCACCACCTACTCATGCAGTGACAATGCTGCACTAGGCACCGTTCAACTGCGCAACCCCTAAGCAGTCAAATATAAGCAGTCAATATAGCCCTAAGGAGTGAAATATGCAGGAAAACTTGACTGCTTAGGTATGGCAAAAATCTATGTGAGTCAATACTAAGGGAGTGATAAAATATTAATATGCTGATATTTGACCGCTTAGAGATCACAAATTTCTGTGGCGGTCAATAATATGAGAGTGATAAACAAAGATTACCAGTTTGAAAACTACATATGATGACGAAAAAATTTATACTTTCTTTTATTCCAATTCTGAAATTGTTGTCTCTCTCATTAGCATAACATAGAAAGCTTACGTGGATAAAGAGATGTAATTAACGCGGTAAATAGAGTAAATTGCGCACTCAGTACAGACACCATTAGCAAAACTTGCTTTCCGGAGAGATGGAAACGAAAACGCTCAAGGAACACGCTTTTATACGTGAAAACAAGTTTTGCTCATGGTGTTTGTACTGAGTGTGCAACTTACCCTATTTATTGCATTAATAACATCGAGAAAGAGTTCCTATTCTACAGGGATGACTCACTGTCGCAGGTTACCGGGTTTACAAAGGTCCCTCCACTTTCATTACATGGCAGGGGAAAAGGTGTTGATGGGCTAAAGCCTTCAGAACACTTGACTTGGTACTTGTAAAACTTTCCATTTAATTCATTCTCCCCTGTGACTGTAGAACTATGGGCAATTACAGGCAGGGAGCACACGGCTAAAGAAAAAAGAACAACACATATACATACAAACACACAGATCCACATCCGGTCAACCAACCATACAAAACACTTATCCTGAAGTGGGCGCCATGTCTGAGATTGTCAAAATAGTGGAGCAAGCCAGGCAATTTCTAAGATTTTGCCCCCATTTCCCTGGCAAGTTGCCGTATGCATACACATCATGAGTGCAGGAATCTAGAACAAAACTATTTGATAACCGCAATCAATAAAACTAGCTGAACCGACATTTGTGTACTTTATTCATGCAATGTAAAAACGGTGGAGACGATGTGCAATAAAACGATCTTATCCACCGTTTTTACATTGCATGAATAAAGTACACAAATGTCGGTTTAGCTAGTTTTATTGATTGCGGTTATCAAATTATTGTCTCCTCGCCGTGTGTTTAAAACTATTTGAAGCTGGATTTTTGTCTGGAAGTCTTCTCCAGAACCTCCACAAACTGTCCTAGGAGTGTGCAATGGCAGCAAGCCGTTGAAATATCCCCCGTACAGCAGGCGAGTTATGCATCTTCCACACTTACTTCTGCTACCCCGAACATAGTCCAACTGTAAAAGTCCCTTCTTTTCATGTCGATCCTCAACAAGAGCTACTAGCTCGGTCCCTTTGTGTTGACTGGTATGCTAACAGCACTGGCTGCACTCTTTTGTCGCGTGAACTGCATGACAGATTTCCTACGTAGTAAAAAACGTGATATCAGATATCCCTAGCTAAAAAAACGCTTACGTAAACGCAAACCTTTCCGTACTTCGAATCGTTCAAGCTGACTTTTCCCTTGGCACAAAGTACGTTATAGTTGAGACAAAGTAGCCGTGACAACCATGGTGGTATGAATTTTCGTAGAAACAGGTGCGGGAAACTCAAAACTTTGAACCAGGGATTAGTTTGCTGTCGTTCCGAAAGAATACCTTGGCGAGGTCTTTTACTCTGGAATAGCAAAAGCACGGTGAAAATGAGTTTTCGCTGTTCCCAGGTCCTTGGAAAACCTTTCCTAAACGCAGCACCGAAGACTGTAAGGGTTCTCCAGCTCCAGCATGTCTGGGAGAGGCCGATGAATTTCTTCCTCAGGAGTGCCGTGGAACTGGTCCTTTGTTTCCCAGATGGGATAGAGGGAGAAAGGCACGAAGCAGAGGACGCAGACATTGTCAACTGAAAGGCAAAACTCGGCAAAAAAGCTAAAAGTCACAAGAGGAAGCAATCTCGATCTGCACGTGCTTTTTATCTCCCGAGTTTTTGCATTTTTTGCAGATTTCCATAACGAACGTCGGCCCGTTATTTTGAGCTCTGTAACGTTTTTCCATTATCGGATAACGTCTTTTGTCACGGCTGGGAGTGATTACCGTAAAAGTTAGCGTTATCGTAGTTTTGCTAGGGATGTCTATTATCAGCATTTCACTGGCCTTTGAGCTGCATGGTCAGGGAAAGTCTCGGTTCGTAGACCTACAACATGGTCACCGTGTTCTCGAGTGCAGTAACAACATGTTGTTGTTTGAATTCTTTATTCTCACGATGGCGCCCATTCTGCACAAGAGTTGGGAATGTGACATGTTGGTGTAGAGAGTAAGTTTGGAACAGCACTGCTAGATCCTCGCCAACAGCATCTGTCGTGTCAGAGTGGCACCAAGCGGCGTTCTTAGCATTGAAATCACCGAGGATAATCTTTTACGTTATTGTTGGTATGGCTCGGATCAGTTCCTCAAGGTGCTGGCAGAATTAACGATGGTCGCAACGGGGTGGTCGGTAGACGCATGTTGCAGTTGTTGTTGTTGTGGTTGTCGTTGTCGTTGTCATGGTCGTGGTCGTGGTCGTGGTTGTCGTCGTCGTCTTCGCGTGGGCAGCACGACTACCTGTGTGGCTCAAATCATTCTCCATTCTTTACAAGTTGAGAGAGAAAGAGGGTGGAAAGGCGTCCCGGCCTGCCCAGTAAGCTGTCTTTCCTCTTCAAACTTGCTCAAACTACTCCTGGAGATTGACCTTGACAGTAATTGGCAGCCTCTGCTTGGGGTGCGCGCGGGTACAACATTCAAGTTAGACATTTCCTACTCGTTCAATGCACAAAAGGATAGATATAACAATTCCCAGCTCACTTGGCCAGCTGCTGTCTTTTTCTACAATACACCACATGCCAACTAAGCAATTTCCAGCAAGAAACAGCCTTCTAGACTCAAAAGCAAATAAAGGGCCACACCATTTGTCTTCCAAATCAAGAGATAAATGGGCTCCAGACTCGTCCCGAGTTTCTAGAAGGTCATGCACGGTTCGTAATGACTCTTGAGGAAGACAACCAGAGGATAGTCCTCTACCAGGGAAAAAATCGATCTAGACTGGGAAAAATCGGAAAGGGCTTCTCAGAGCCGAGTTTGTCACCGACGACATAAAAAAATTACTCGAGAACGAAGCCAAAGTTGCACGACGCAGAACAAATGTTTCTTGAAGGAAATGCAGGCATGTGAGGTACGAGCGGAAAGCTTGAAACAAGACGGTTATGATCCGCGTGTTCCCCGGGCTATCTGGGGTAACTAGTCTCCAAACTCCAGGGGAAACCATGGCCTACTCGTGTTCTGACGGTTTGAAAGTTCAAATTTTCTAGCCATTGAAGCTACTAGTCTTCTTTCTTCTGTTTAGGTCACCTTACAGGTGATGATTGTAAACTTTAGTGTTAGTGTTAGTGTTAGTTTTCTTGCCAAATTGTGTCTGTGTGTATGTGTGAGTTTTCTCATCTTTCGTTTTGTTTAGGTCACCTTACAAGTGATGAGTGTTTAGTTTGCTGGCCTTGCCAATTGTGTCACCACGACCGGTCTTTAAATTTCGCAATTTGGCCTCCCCTTCCTCAATGCCCTGATGATGCCCAATGGGAGAAATATTGGCAAAGTTATTTTATTTGGTGCAGCTGAGAGCCTGTTGCCGGAATGGCGGTGTTTTCAAATTGAAGCCCAATCGAGACTTTCGGCGGCCATATTGATAAGCGGGCTGAAATCGCACAAAAAAACAGCCGTGCTCCACGGACAGTCCGAGTGTTGAGCTGGAGGTGAAGGCACTGCAATCTCAGCTAGGCGAAAAATGTCCGAAGTGAGCGATCTCAGCCATTTTGCAAATTAGAACTGATCCCGATTAGCCGGTTACTTTCTTGTGTGTTGTGCTGCTTTTTCCTGTCTTGTGTGACAAGACGATCTGTTTTGATTCGGAGTCATATCAATCAGATTCAGCCACCCGTTGCTCTCGAAATCTAGCTAGACCTTTTAGGTGCTCGTAATATTGATGACGGTGGACCAAGTAAGCGTTGCTACTTCTTATGTTTTGAACCCCAATACGTCGCCATCCGCGATGCGCAAGCAGCAGCAATTTCACAATTTTGTAAAGTCTGGTTTGTTGACCTGAGTGCCGCTCACGTCAAACTCACTTTCACTCGAAATGGGAGTTCAGGTGCATAGCAAAGGGTCACACACTACGAAATGGAGCAAGATAGCAAGTATTATGGTAAATATTGTTTCCGGACTCACGTTTGCATTCAGAACTCCACTTGTTTCCACCCCTGCACATCATCGGCAGGGTACCAATGAGAATGAATTCAGGGTTACAGTCCATTGTTCCTTTAGTTGTCGAGCCACTAATGTATGAGAAATTACTAAAGCTGGCATGTGGGGCAGGGGGGGCACACCACGTATAGTCTGCAGAAGAGGGCACATAGAACACTGGTAACTTACATAGGGAGACCCAAGGTTGAGTATAAATATTGATATGTTACTGTTTTTTAGTATTACCGACCAATTTTCCTGTTGTCTGTTATGGAGTCGATAATCAACCGTGGTCTGTCCAACTTCCCGGAGAAGAATTCTATACTGTCGTCGCGGCAATTCGGCTTCCGCGCTGGGCTTGACACATCAGATCTTCTGATCGCATTCCAGCATGCGTGGTACCAGATAGCTGCCCAGGGAGGCCTTGTCAGGGTGCTCGCAGTGGACATCGCTGGGGCGTTTGACAAGGTCTCACACCCAGGAGTCCTTCACAAGGCAGACCAATACGGTGTCAAAGGGTCCCTGCTCTGTTGGCTGCAGAGCTATCTCACTAGCCCCAAGATCAAGGTTGTCGTAGGTGGCCAGGCCTCTACTCCCCGTGACATCACGGGTGCCACAGGGCAGCATCCTCGCCCCAACGCTCTTCCTGATCTACATCTACGACGCTGAGGACTACCTACCTGAAGAGGCTAAACTCGCAGTATATGCCGACGACACCACGGTATATACGTGTATCACAACCCGAGCCAATATCCCAGATGGAGTTGCAACGCTCAAGCAGGCTGTTGACGCACTTGCCGACTGGGGCACCCTCTGGCGAATCAGGTTTTAGCCGACAAAATCACAAGCCCTCACGATCACCCACCGACGATCCCACCACCCAGTTCCCTCTATCACATTCCAGGGGACAGACGTATCTGAGGTGGACCAGCTCCGCCTGTTAGGAGTAACATTTGACAGCCAGTTATGCTTCAAGCAGCACATACGGTCCCTCGCAATATGCAGTGCGCAACAACTCGGCTTCTTCCGCAAGGCTGCCAGGGCTCTCAACCCACGATGCCGTGCCGGAGTATACCGTGGGTTTGTTCGGCTTTTGATTTCCCCTGCGCTGCAAACACAAGTGCATTGAATTTGGCTGTGTGCGGATGCGCACCATCGACTCGTGCTCGTACAGCAGTGGCTGAGCGCTGGCCGGCTCGTGGACACTTCTTCGAGCCATGCAGTCTTTCAGTTTCTCGTTTTCGCACTTTGGTATCTTGCGAGCGCGCCTGGGGTTGTGTTTTGGTGACATCCTGTCGAGAAACGGTTCTGCTTCGCCTTTTTTTCAAAGGACTCCACGCTTTTCAGAGGTTCAAAAGCCCATGGTTGATAAATATGGTGGTAAAGACACACCTGGCAATATGGCGGTAAACACACGCAGAACAATGGACGACAACTCAGCTACTCTATATAGGGGATAGATCACTGACATGTATGTCTAATGCCGACAGAAATATCATGACAAGAAGACCAGGAACGCAACAAAGTTTTGCTTAGCGGAGGAAGTACTCAAAACAGCTTTACGAAAGAATTCAGTACCAACTTATATTGGCCTCCACCAGCGAAAACTGCCCTTAGGGTCAAAGTTTTCAAAATTCCTTTTGGTTAGAAATTTGTTGAAACACATCTACTGAAGGTCCTCAGCCAAGAAAAAAATCAATATTCCTATTCAAAACGGGTGTATACACTATTATACCTCACTCCAATAACACCCACACTCATATGCCAGATCTCCCATGAAGTTAAAAAATTTCCATATCCACTGTTCAATATACACCACTAAGTACTATTATTAGGATATAGACCTACACCAGGTCTATATGCCTCGTAAAAGACTTTGGCGGACCTCGGCCTTTTACTCGGCCTATATTTCCCATATAGACCGAAGTCGAGGTCAATATCCTATTTATCTCGATTCCTTTGCCATAACCCCAAAAATTGAACCTTTAAGAGCTATTTAAACCTTTTTAGTAGTTTAAACCTTTTTAGTATAGCATTTGTACTATATTGTACATAAGATGGTGCCTGTGTTTGGGTACAAGACTGTAAGAACAACAGGGTTCATCTGCAGCACAGCGGCTGGGTGGTATAAGGGGTTGCTTGAGATTCGTACTGTTGTGGCTTTGAATCCTGCTTGTTCTCTTCCTTTGTCTGCTTTCTTTCAAATTTTCTTTTTGAAGTGGAGAGAAAGTTTCTAAGTCCCTCCAAAGTCGAAAGATTACGATGCCTAAGTAGTCCATACAAGCGGTCGATACAAGCAGTCGATATTCCGGCGATATGGGTAATATAGGGCCAGTCAAGGATCACGAGAATTAGTGGAGGTCGATAAAGAAGAGTGATACTGAGGTATATATTGACCTTTGATAAATACTCACACTCATTAGTGACCACACCATCAACGGTATCAAATTCGAATAAATTTGCTTGACTCAACGAGAGAGCTTGGAAGCTCAGGGCCCTACGCTATGCTTTTTTGCCTTGATGACCTAGACAAAAAAAGCATAGGGATGTTATAAATTCTTTAAAAAATCCTTTTTTTTTAAGACATAACCTGGGATTCGAACCCGCACTATCGCGCGCCCTGCATGCATCCTCCGATACACTTCGCAAACATACTAATTCTTCAAAGTTGTTTCACATTGTGATCTTGCATTTGAAAGCCCTATTTGAATATGCATTGTGGCCAGCCGTCTTTGATGGCACGGTACGGTAGTGGATAGGTACGGGACAGGTACGATCGAGGGTAATACGACACCGTATCCCGTACCGTACCGTACCATCAAACACAGCTGGTCAGATACAGCTGCTCGCAATATTTAAATAGGGCTTTCAAACGCAAGATAATAACGTGAAGCAACTTGGACGAATGGGTATGAATGCGAAGTGTATGGGGGAATGCATGTAGGGCGATAGTGCAGGTTCCAATCCCAGGATTTGCCTGAAAAAAAAGGAAAAATTGAAAACTTTATAACATCCTATGCTTTTTTGCCGTCAGATACGGATAGCGCCAGGCGTGACACAAAAAAAACAAACAAACACACACACAAATACCAAATTAAAGCTGTGTGGACCCTGGCTAGCGCCAGACGTTACTGAAGTAACGTCTTCTGCATAGCTACGGGAATAAATACCACTGTACTTTTCCATGCAGCACTGCACTTTTCCCTAAAAAGGAGTATTTATAAACAGTATTTATCACTCTTCTATATCGACCTCCGCTAATTCTCGTGATCCTTGACTGGTCCTATATTACCCATATCGCCGCAATATCGACCGCTTATATCGACCGCTTGTATCGACCACTTGTATATATTTCCCATATAGACCTCGCCTTGGTCAATATCCTATACTTATCGCATGGTTGCAAGGGCCTTATGGCATATTATTGCCCCGAGAGGTTAGCCCGAGGGGCGTAGGCCCGAGGGCTAACCTCGAGGGGCAATAATATGCCATAAGGCCCGCAGCAAACATGCGATAACAAATTTATCACATGGCCCACAGAGCAGACCATTGGGCTGCTGTTGAAATTAGCCCAAATGCCAACACATTATGACCACAATGTATATTGATGTGCTATCATTATCAAAAACAGGAAAAATGAAGATATTTCTCCTACACCCTAACAAAAAGTCTGCTACAGGCCATCAGAGAGTATACAGTACTGAAAGACGGAGACAGAGAAAAAGTACCAGCACCTCATGGTCATAGCAATAGTCATGGCAATGACAATAAAATACAGCAGAATCATAATTTCAGTTGAAAAATTAAGAGTGCTACCACAAAGAGTTTCTTCCCTGTTTACATGTGTATCAGGCAGTGGTCAAATACAGTACTGCAACAAGTGCAAGTATTTGACGACTCTCAGGCCTGGTGTGTAATTCTGAGGACAATTTTTCTTCTTTTTTTCAGCTCCAGATAGCTGTATTTTTCATTGCAAAACATTCCTGAATTGTTTTGTTTGTTGTTCAAGCAAAGGTGAAGGCAGAGGACATATGAGCCTGGTAAGAGTTTTGCGTGGCACATGAAGACCACACACAGGCAGTGACTTTGCGAGGATCTGAAAAAGCACGACGCTAGTTGAATGTGTGTTATCACAGTTCCACTTTGAGCAGAACTGAATCTTATCCACAAGCTTACCGACGGTCAGGCTGCCAATATGACTGAACAGATGATCCCTGGAAGTACCACACGGCAGACGTCCGAGGCCATGTCCATTGCCGGGATGTCCATTTTCAAAAAGAATTCCATCTTCTCAATGCTACACTGCGCCTGGTCGTAGAGTCGTACAGTCTACAGTCTTCGTAGTCGAGTCACACGATCACTGAAATAAACTATTTTTTTGCGGGCAAATAAACTATTTTTGCAGGCAATATCGCATATTATTGCCCGCGACGCGAAAGGTGCTGATTCGCTGGAGTACGGGCAACAATCACGTGCCATGTGATAATACATTTATCGCCTTCTTAGTATTTATGAAGTTGGTTGCTCCAACGAGGAGCACACGCTTCTTGCCGAACTTGACACTTGGATGGCACTTGGATGGCAGTCGTGAGTCAGTCAAGTGTCAAGTTCGGCAAGAAGCGTGTGCTCCTCATTGGAGCAACCAACTTCATGACATTACCGCCGAAGTCGCAACTTCTAAGTTCTTAGTATTTGATCCCACTAATTTCCCTGATACCAAAGCGGTCAAATATATCGCGTATTTGACTGACTGCTTAGTCAAATACACGATATATTTGACTACATATATTTGACTCATTAGAATTTCTTGGATTTTTTCTCCAACTTAGAAAAAGAAATTTTGAAGAAAGCAGAAATACACAAGACGGGATTCGAACCCACAACCATAGGAATCTCAGTCACTCTTCCTTACCACCCAGCCACTGTGCTACCAATGCTGAACCTAATTTAAACATTGACCTTCATCCTGCACTGCCGTACAATGCGGTATAGGCTATAGTATAATACTAGAATTTAACATACAAGGATATGTCGTATATGAAGAGAAACTATTGCGTGGAGAACACGATAAATAGATTATAGACCTCATAGTTGGTCTATACAGGATAGACCTCCTAACCGGTCTATAATCTATACGTACAAGATCGATCGGTTAATTAAAACCGTGAAAATCAGAGTTACAGAAGAAACGCTTTTCGTCCCTCTCAAGTGTGTGTACTAGGCTCTGCACCTTGGGGTATTGAGCACTCTAACGAGCAACCACAACTCCCTCCGAGTTTGAATATACAAGATGTACTCCAAATTGGTGCAATGTATGTATACGTTGTATGTGTACAATGAATATTCAGCATTCGAAGGTGGGTGGGCAGCTTGAATACTTTTTAAATAGTACAGTAAGCAGCAGCTATGATGACAAAGAATAGCTGATGAGCGCGGAGAAATGATCGACATATTCACAGCTGCATCCTGTGTGGAGTCGTTCCGCAATCTCGTCTTTCTTCCTCCGCACCTGAAGACACGACATTGCTGCCATCACTAGCCCCAGACTCAGAATTTGTCTCAGGTGACGGCTCCTCATCTTCCGACTCTGACGAGTCATTGGCCACCTTGAGCCGCATGGCAACAGGAGATGACGGCTGCGATTCCGCCTTGCTGTCCACATCGATGTT